CTTGAACTTAATGACCTGTGCGCGTTGTGTGATATAAAGATAGGTTTAGTGCGACATAACTGATGGTTTCGTGATAATTACCCCAATATTGCGAGTTTATCAGATGTACTCGATAATAGGTTTGAAGTTGCCAGTAGCGATAATTATGAGCGAATTGAACTTTAGAACCATTAGTATTGCCGCCAAATTACTGGTTATCAAATAATTATGGGTTGAGTCGAGTCAATCACGAGCATGTATGTCAGGACCAGGAATCAGCAAAACCTCGTGATGGGACTAGGTAACAAGGTAAGGGATAGAACCTTCGGGTACTATCAAGTATTACTGCTACTGGGTGCCCTGATTACGAATATAACTTCCGCCGTTTTTGGTGCCGTCCCTCTGTTTACTAAAAAGCTTGCCTTGCGTTCCAAGGTTATTTGATGCCCTGATCACGAAAGCGGATGATATACTAGTGACCAGGACATCTAATAAATCTGGTATGCAAGCTTAGTCGTTTTTAATGGGGAAGGGGTGGTGCCGAGTTTGCGCTCAGAGGCTTCGGCGCCCTAAGCCAATGTCACGTTCGTGACCAGGCCACCCCTAAACCCTTAGAGGGGGTACCCCCTAAAGGCAAAGTTCCAGCTCAAAAATTTTCTAGAGATTGTGGGGAAGTAATAGCTGAATAGTATCCTTTTTCGGTGTTGACCAATTCCTTTTTGGGATGCGCCACGTGTTTCACCTTTACTCAGAACTGTAGTGGATTTTGAACACGATTGGCCTTTGTAAATGAACTGTAGGGCTTGCCGTCGTACAAGGTAGCATTCGTGCTCTCCCTGCACCTGCTGAGCGAGCTCTAGGATCTAAGGTTTGGCTGGCCCAGGAAATATGTAGTCGATCTGAGGTTTGACGTCTCTACCGTGCACTCGGTGAGCAGCTCCAAATGCACCTCTTTCTCGATGCACGAGACAGGGTAACCCTTGGAAATTGGACTTATTTCCTATTAGAACGTGTCTTTCGGAACTTATGAAATAAGTATCGGGAAAGCCTATCGGGCATTATCCACTAGGCCGTTCCGTCATGGTTCAGACCTTATGTAACTGGGAAGAGCCCAGCGAATAACTGCGAGCGTCAGAACCTGAAATTTCTTCTTTTCTTTGGGTCCTTTGCGCCAGCAGGGTGTTCCTCTGTCTGTAGATACCCATAAAAGTCACATAAAATAGTTCACAGATCAAGCGACATGTAGCTTGTAAGGAATCGCCTATTAGTAAGATGATTCATATTCACAGAAGAGAAATGATGGAGGTACACGAGAAATGAACTTGGGCGCGGCCTTTTTATGTTAACAGCTCCATCCCGGCACGTACGCGACCGCGCGCTCCTTTTCCACATATTGTGGCCGCGCAGCAATCCTTCGGCCTCTAGCGGTCAGCATCGGCTGGCGTGCATGGCCGTAAAATAAGGACGGTGATGGGAAAGGTAGAAACCTAGGGAACTGAAATTCCATCAGTATTGCTGTAAGGAAATTGTTGTGGAATTAGTTATCGTGTTTCAGTTCGCATTGGTCCGCAATTTTGCATTCGCATTCAATCTACTCAACCGAGTATTCTATTCGCCTGATCATGGACCTGACAAAATCGTATTTCAAAATGGCGCCTTCATCATGCGGCAACCGCAGCAACAGGTGAATTTTTTGTTTTGTTCATCTTGATAGTTTCACTTTGTTATGTTGTTTTTTTTACTGCTTACTTTCACACCATTACCACCACCATCATCTGCCTTTCCACTTCAAATGTCTGTCCGAAACGTATTTGTCTCCTTCAGAACATGAACTAAATGCAAATTAAATCATACGGGAAGCTTCAAAGAGAGTAATATATGTCTGCACATGTACACTCCTCATCATTGCGGACCGGTGGGGCGTGTCAGTGCGGCTGCGTTTGGCGCGGTGCCAAAGTCGTTCTGCACCAGTTGTTGAAGCGGGCAAGTGACATTACTGTATTATATCCTTCGTATTACTCGTTTTCTACCACTTTTTGTCGCATACGCGTTTCAACAAAAAGGCTGAGAAC